CTACATCCTTAGCCTAGGAGCTTGAATTTTAACCTATATTTAGGGGAGAGCCTCTTAAAGCATTTTAAAAGTGAGGAGTAATATCAGAGGAAAAAATAGGACCAATAAAGTTATACGGTTGTTGATGAGGTTTAGGATTTTTAATCTGGCATTGACTGTTAGATGGCTTATAAGATTAGTGAGAGAAGAGACAGAGAAGCTAGCTAGACTATTGCATTATTCATGAGGGAGACAATGAAAGTGGAGAAATGAAAATAGATTTGAGAGCATATCCAAGCTCTGGGCTGTTGGTGAGGTTTCTATTTTTGAAAACACACATTCCCTCACCCTGGACTGTGTAGAAGACTGTGTCAGCGGGAACCAGAACTAATCTCCCAATATGACTGCCTTTGAGGGGAAAGGAGATTTATTGAACTTAACAGAATGGATAGCATGTAACACATGTTATCTACAATCAGAGCGGCATCCCGATTGGCTGCTTGTCCTCCCTCAGGTTGGTATAACTTCTCAGCATCAGGGCCATTGCCCCTCCTGGATTCAGCACTTTCACTACTGAATTCAAAACATTCAGAGATAGGATCAGAGGGCAGGGCAGTTCTGTGATGCTTTGCAACATGAGGATCTGGTGCCCCTGACCTGCACGTTTTCTTTTCATAAGACCCATTTCAAAGTTTCTGCTGCAGTTCAGGGCAGCAGCTGTGATTCAGAATGCTGGCCGGCCCTTTTTTCCCTCTTCACCCATCTGGACACGTGTGGTAGAAACAGGAAAGTCCACTTCAGGATGGATTTTACGTGGGCTGGGGTTTGAAATCTGGGAAGGAAGGGCAGCTACTGCTGTGGTACGGGCGGTAGAGAGAAAGGTCATGAGTATCACAGTTCTCTGCTGTCCTCTGTCACCTGGGCCACATTATGGCCCAAATAAATGTGAGAACTCAGTTAATGTAGGAGACTGAGGAGAGAAGGTGGCAGCTGACCTCCCCTCTGGTGCTGGAAATCAAAACAAAGTTTCATGTTTTTCAAGGGACTTATTTGCTGATTAGGTTCAATGGCAGTTTATTCCTTATTCCATCAATTCTGAGATGCCCATATTTCACAGTTTTACCTCTCTCTTATCACAATGTTTTACATCTGTAATGTCTCTGTGCACCTCATAGTTGATGATGTGTTATGGTTTAACCGCCAGCTCTTTTGTTTCCTTAGTGGTACTGTGAGTGATGATGTATGTGTATATATATATATATAAAATCAATACTGTTACAGGTTCAGTGAATACTCAGTGAGGGCTGGGGGGTATTGAAGTGTCAGGCAAGGCAGTGCTGATATTTTAAGCCGGAAGTGGATTCCTGTGTTTATAGAAAGGAAATCTTTCATTGGTTTTAAGACTCTTATCACTGTTTTGAATGACTTCTTTTTTCTTTCATTTGGTACCAGGGATCAAACTCAGGTCCTTGCGCTTGCGAGGCAGTCAGTGGAACCATTGAGCCAAATCCCCAGCAGTAGTGTATTTTTTTTGTTTTGTTTTGTTTTTGTTTTTGTTTTGTGTTGAATGACTTCTAATCAGGAGAGTTGCAAACTCTTAGATGTCTCTCCAGTTATTCCCTACTAAGACTCAAGTTTTGTTTTGTTTTTGGCCTTTCTTTTTTCTTTTTGTACCAGGGATCAAACTTGGGACCTTGCATTTGCAAGGCAGGCAGTGGCACCACTGAGCTAAATCCCCAGCCGAAGACTCAAGTTTTAGAGTCACTTTTTTTGGTAGAATCTTGAAAGTTTGAGACTGTCTCTGTGGCCCAACTCTTGATATTTTTTTCCAGTACTGGGGATCAAGCTCAGGACCTTGTGCTTGCGAGGCACGTATGGAGCCACTAAGCTAAATCCCCAGCCTTTGATTTTGAGCATCTATTTGTACATTCTTCAAGAATCTTAAAGTAATGATAGGTTGTTTGGTTTTTTGTTTATTTGTTTTGGTACTGGGGATCGAACTCGGGTCCTTGCACTTGTGAGGCAGGCGGCGGAACCACTGAGCTAAATCCCCGGCCCAATGATAGGTTGTTTGAATAACTGTTTTTTGTTCTGCGCACACACACACACACACACACACACACACACACACAGCATGAATATGTGTTTGTGTGACTCCTTTCCTCCCTCCCTCCCATGGTGGGGATTGAGCCCAGGGTCTCACACATGCTAGGCAAATGCTGTATCATCAAGCTACATCCCCAGCCCTTTTGAAAAATTTTATTTTCAGGCAATGTCTCACTGAGTTGCCCAAACTGGCCTCAAACCTGCAGTCCCCTTCCATCGGCTTCCAAGGTAGCAGGGATTACAGGTGTTTACCACTATATGCCATATGACATTACATTCATTACACTTCTAATTTAGAATTGTTAAGGATTCTCATGCCATTCGTGTAGTCTACATTTAGACTAGGAGTATGCACGTATGCATATAGTCTCAAAAACTATCTTGAAATGTGTATAGGAAGAATTATGTAGTTTATGGTAGTGAGGCAATAACTGAATACCAAGAACTTTGGTAAACAAATTGTGACCCATTATTGCATGGAAGATAAATACCTGAATTTATCAAACTGCCGAGTATCTGAATTCCAGCACCTGTGACTGTGGACAAGTTGCTAACACGTCTTTCTGTGCTTCAGTGTGCTAGAGACTCCTATAGTAACTCTCTAGTCCCCACCTGCCCAGTATACGATGCAGGCCTGAGAAAAAAATACAGTAAGAGACAGAACTAAGAGAGGAAAAGCGTGGTGCCAGGATGACTAATGCCAGTGCAACCGACAAGGCACTGGACAGTCCCGGCACTGACTTTTCTTGGCATTGGGTTGAAGGTGAGCTATGAGAGGTTTTTATGGAAATTAATGTGAACAAGGCTCATAAAGGACAAGACAAAGCATTTTTGCATTAGGACCAGAATAGACAAAATGCATGGTTGAAATTAGAACACTGTCTTTCTACTCAGAAGGTTTTAGTTGTGGGAACGGAATTTGGGTGCAAGTTACTCTGACCGTGGCACGTAGGCTTCAGCTGAACTCAATTCTCAAAAACAAGCCAATTGTGAGGTTAACTCTACAGCCTGCTTTAGGCATAATCAGTATCACAGTCCTCTGCATCAATGCTTCTGTCTGCAAAATGGAAACTTACTTCATGGGCCGTAAAAATTAATCTTGGTAATGTATGCAAAGTATGTAGCAACATTCCCTGCACAAAGTATACGTAATGAATATTAGCTGCTTATTTTAATTAGTAAGGTATCACTTCAAGAATGACTTCTTCTTGAACTATTGGTTAAGTAAAAAAATTAACTCTTACTAAGAAATTTTAATTGCATGATAGAAAAATATTTTCTAACTCAGTGCCTTTAGGAAATTTGTGAAGTTAGTTGAACATTTTCTTGAAATAGAGATGTAAATTCCATGAAGGTACAGGCTCCATGTCCATTTTGTCCACTGCTTTGCCCCAACATCTTAACTAGTGCCTGACTTATAGTGGGTGCTCAATAATCTTGTAGGATGAAAAAGGGCCAGTGGCTCTTTTTTTTTTCCTTTGGTACCAGGGATCTAACTCTGGTCCTTGTGCTTGTACTGGGGATTGAAGAGAGGACCTTGTGCTTGCGAGGCAGGTGGCAGAACCACTGAGCTAAACCCCCAGCTTTTTTGTGGGGGGTACTAGGGATTGAACTCAGGGTCTTGCACTTGTAAGGCAGGCAGTGGCACCACTGGGCTAAATCCCCGGCCCACCAATGCTCTTAAAAACTACAAATATTTTATTTTATAGAACAAAGTATATGTTTTTCTCGTCTGTAATTAACAATGGAATGGAGAATAGTTTTATTTAAATTACTTTTTTTGTTGTTTTTCTTTTGGTACTGGGGATTGAACTCAGGACCTTATGCTTGCAAGGCAGGCAGTGACACCGCTGAGCTAAATCCCTAGCAGTTTTATTTAAATTGTTGGAAACTCTGAAACCTAAAGTGCATTGAGATAAAAGGATTTTGAATGCTTTATTTATAAATTGAGGTATTAGTTTGACAGTGTATAATTAATCTCCCATTAATCCTGCAGTTTCAAGTTATTTCATAGAAGAAACAATTTAAAATGTATCTGTGTCTTTCCAGTAGCATGTGCCTAGAACTCAGCTTCTTGGGAGGCTGAGGCAAGAAGATTGCTTCAGCCCAGGAGGTATGAATTCAGCCTGGGGAACATTTCAAGAACCCACCTTAAAAAAAAAAAAAAGAAAAGAAGAGAAAAAAAGTGCACCTAAAGTGATGAAAATTATTTGCAGATATTTACATTGGCTATCAAAACTGGATCAGGGAATTTAAATTTAAAAAAATTTTTTCCTTTTAGACTGAAGGTTCAGTTCCTGGTACAAAAACTAAATAAATTCTTCCTTTTATTTCTTTTAATTTTCTAATACTTTCTACCAACCATCTGAATTTTAAAATGCCCCCCCATCCTTATTTATTGCATGCTTATGGTGCATTGGTCATTGGCAGTACAATGAAAAATAAGAAAAACAGTATCTGTTTTCTAATGCAGGAGGAAAAGATGCAATAAACTTAGGAAAGGAAGCCAGCCCCACATTTTAAGGTTAGGAAACTGAGCTCCAAAGATGTTAAAGTGGCTTGCTAGAAGTCATGGCACAGCTGATACAAAAATCCCACTCACTTGCCCTTTAGCTCACGGCCTTTTCTTGACTCTCAAGAATGCCATGTGTATCCATGAACATTCTGAATCAGAGAAGTCTTGTTAGTTTTGCTGGGATCATGAAGGAATTCTAGACCCGGCAACATTATCCAGAGGAAGAGAATTCTGACTGCAGAACATTTAGCAAATCCTGGAAGCTTGTTGGACTTTGTTTTCATCATCTGAGAATTAAAGAGATGAGCTTGGGAAACTTTGAAGGCTAGGACTTGCTTGTTACTTCCATAGTTGTCTTATTTGATTTGGAATTATGTGTATGTGTGTGATTTCTCTACAGCTATACACACCGCTGCTATGGACATGTTGGGAGGATCAGGTATTGAAAGCCAATGTAGGAAAGTCGAGATAATGGCAGATGCTGCATATTCCATTTTTAAAAAGCCAAAAACATTTACTGGCAATTTTATTATTGATGAAAATATCTTAAAAGAAGAAGGAATAAAAAATTTTGATGTCTACGCAATTAAACCAGGTAATGCTTACAGCTTCTGAAAATGGTAGTGTGTTTTCCTACATTTTCTGCATTGAACATACATATCTGTGTTTGTATGATTGTAAAAGGAATGTGTATTTTGAAAAGCTGTCTTTCTATTGAAGGGGAAAACCCACAGCAACACTACTTTTTTGTTTGATTTTTGAGACAGGGTCAAGCCTGGCCTTGAACTCACTGTGTAGCCCAGGCTGGCCTCCAATTTGTGGCAATCCTCCTACCTCAGGCCCAAGGTGTGGGATTACAGTTATGTGCTATGATGCTGGTCTCCACATCAACATTATTTAAAAAAAGAAAAGAAAAGTTGAGTTTAGGACTTTTGAAGTGGTTCCTCAGCTACTAGCCATTTCCAAATTTTGAAACCAAAAATGGAAATTAGTTTTTAAATTGGTCTTTTAAAAATCAAAGTAATGATTTTATTCAAAGATATATGACAGATGATACAGTAGTGCGTTGTTTTTGAAACTTTTAAGATTATAGCCTCATTCCAAATGTTTGATTTTAAGTGTAGCCTCTTAGAGAAGTTTGTGACATTATGAAGATGCATGAGCAGGACCTGTCTTCCGTGCAGTAGCCTGATTTGAGAAGTTTCTAGAAGGTGAAACTTCAGAAACTTCCCTGTTCAAATTAACTTCCCCTGAAATTGCGCATGATGATGATGATAGGATTTACTTTATATAAAAACTGTGATGTATGCTTAGCTGGGTACAAGCTAAATAGTTTGCAGTCCTAGTCATGGTACTCAGAAGGCTAAGTAGAAAGATAGCTTGAGCTCAGGAAATCAGGGGCCTACCTGGGTTTCATAGTGAGGCCTTGTCCCTAAAAATAAAAATTAAGAATGAATAAATAAATGAATACAATATAGTACATCCTAAATGACTGACATCATAGCCACAAATGGCAATTATATTGTTGTGCTAAAGTATATTTAAAATATTCTTTATTAAACTGACCTTGATGGTAGAAACCATATTTGTATCATCCCTGCCTGTCTCTAGTTCCAATGGAAATAACCGATTATAGTTTTCTATGGCACCTTATTACCTGCTGCTCACTAGCTGTGTAGCTTTGACCCTCAGTTTCTGTAGGAGGCCAGTTTATGAGTTTATCTTGACCCTGGGGGGCTAATGAGGACTAAAGACAAAAGACACAAAGATAATTTGGAAGATGAGGGCCAGGGAGCTCTTGCCTCCAGTGGACAAAAGAACCCTGAACTGACAGGCTCCTCATTTTTGTTAGACTCACACAAACAAGAAGCAAGCAAGCATGTGATCCAGGGTGTAGGGAGAGCTTATCAGGTTTTCATAATTTATAGAGTGCATGTGAATGTGTATCTTTCATCAGACTCTAGCTGTAGTTGATTCCCTGAAACTGTCTGGCACTGGCGTGTTAGTGAACAGACTTCTGGAGGAGACAGCTTATAATCTCAGGCTATCTCAAGGAGAGTGAAACCCAGGCCTTGGTTTTTGCACCTGGTTTCCCACAAATGTCCTTACTGTAAAAATTAAGAGAATGATCATTTCCACACAGGATTTGTTAGAACTGTGTTTAATAACACATATAATGTGTTTGGACATTACCTATGTACATACTACACACACCATATTTAGCAGTTAACATTTGTAAGTGGAAAAATCGGTTCAGAGAGATTAAGCCTTTGTCTATGAGCAGATGGCTAACAAATGGTAAATGGCAGAACATGAAACAGACTCAGATCTTCTGGGTCTTGGTACAGTGCAGTGATCATTTTAGGTTTTGAGGCCCCGGTAGCATTATACAGAAAATTAAAAGTTCAATGTACTAAACAATCGTTTAAAATCAATTTAAAACTTAATATGACCAGGTACTGTGATACTAGGATATAACAAATATCAATTTCTTCCTGCCCTCCAGAAGTTTGTTTAATTTTCAGAAAGAGATTGTTAATATCTGATTTTATTACAGTTTTGGAGGCTTTGTGGCCTTCAGAGCTCCTAACATACACGTCTTGAAGGTTAAGATGGGTAACTACCTGGTTGTCAAGCACTGATCAGACCCTCAGTTGCCTGCTCAGTGGAGTGCAGCTGGGGATAAAGAAAGACAAAGACAGATTTGCAAGTACAGGGGCTTCTGGAGGTCAGTCCTCAGGGGTAATGTACTCTCCCTGAAACTGTGACTGCAGTAAGCATGTGGTAGAATTTAGAACAAGTTTAGCAGCACAAAAGAAACAAGTTCTTTCCCCATATTTAGGTACTTGCTTTCTTTGTGCTGTCCTCCTCTGATGTTAGCTTGCTTCAGGATCACTGGGATTATAGGATTAGGTCCCACCCAGCTGGGAAGGCTGCAGCATTCTTCAAATCCTTCCCTGTTGCTGAAGCAAGTCAACCTCCACCCCTCTTGACTGGGGGTTGCTGTAGTTTGGCTCCCACCAATCTAAACATATCATAACTGGTCCCCAATAGTTGGGTGTGGCAATGCATGTCTATAATCCCAGAATTTGGGAACCTGAGGTGGAAAGATTGTAAATTTGAGGTCAGCCCCAGCAATTTAGCAAAATGAAAGAAAGAAAGAAGGCAGGGGGAGAAAGAAAGAAAAGGAAGCAATCTGGGAATGTAGCTCCTGGCAGAAAGCTTGCTTATCATGTGAAAAGTAGTTAATTTTTTAACCACAGCTGTCAGCTGAAGTAAGACCTAGTGGAAGACAATAACTTAGTCTTCATAATGGTAGAGGAAGAGAGAAAAGACTCAAATACAATGATGTATAGAAGCAAGTCCTTCTCAATGAGGACCTCTGCTCTTCGAGTCTAGGTAAGAAATGAGCTCCTGAGCACTTTGAGGAGCAAAGGTGAAAAGATCGAAGGATGAGCAGGGCCAAGACTCCTTGAATGGAAAGCAAAGCCTTTTTTCTCCCTGCCCTGTCCTGGAAATTGAACCCAGGGCCTTCACACTGGGCTACATTCCTGGTTCTTTTTCTAGTTTTTATTTTGAGACAGTGTCTTTCTTAAGTCACTGAGTTGCCCAGGCTGGGCTCCAACTTGCAGTCCGGTCCTCCTTCCACAGACGGTCAGGGTGCAGGGATTATAGGTGTGTGCCAGCAGACCGGTTTATAACAGGTGAGTTTTAAAAGTTAGATTTCGAAGTTTGTCACAGGAGAAGAGGATAACTGGGTTACAGAAAATTAATTTAATGAAGATCAAGTAGCTTGACAGTTTTTATGGACTTTTTCTATTGCTCCCAATGATCTTAAAAACACATAATTTTTGTTTAACTGGTATTAAAATCTTAATGTATTTCTGTTTTTTATGTTAACCTGATTATTTTGGGTTCAATTTTTCAGGCCAACCTCTGATGCCAGATTTCTTCTTAGATGAATTCCCAGAGGCAGTTACGAAGATAAGGGAATCACAGGGTAAGATCTAAACCATATTTTATGTAGAAAAATCTGTCAGAGTATTAAAACCAGAAAAGAAACAAGTTTGCCAGTCTTTTTTTCCCAAAGGACTCTTATGAAATCCAGAAATTACCTAGAGAACTTATAAAGTCTTTAAGAGTATGATCTTCAAGGTAGGTAAGCCTCAAATCATGATTTTTGCTTAAAACTATAATCTATCTATCTTCTGGAGAAAGACATGTGAAATGAACTCATTTAAACTCTGAGTTTTTGGGCTAGGGATTTAGCTCAGTGGTGCCACCACCTGCCTTTCAAGTGCAAGGTCCTGAAGTTCAATCCCTGGTACCAAATATGCTCCCGACAAATAAAAAAGCTCCAAGTTTTAAAAAAGAACCACCTATTGATTGTATCTTCATTTTGTTTATTCAACAAATATTTATTGGACACCTGTTTTGTGTTAAATATTTTGCTGATTACTTTGCATACACTGTGTTTTTAATACCTGAGACCTGACAAGGCAAGTATTACTGTCCTTAATGCCAGCTGTTATCACACAGCTGGCAGGTGGCAGAGTCAAGATTTAAACTTGTTTCACTGATTCCCAAGACTGTGTCTTAACCAGTATGCTTAGATTCTCTAACACCCCAATCCTTAAAAGCCCTTTGAACTAGCATATTATTTTGTCTAGCAACCCTCTTATTAATTTATAATGAGGAGTTGCCACCTCACGGACTGAGCATGTAGTTGCTACGATCAGCACATTCTTTCCCTTTGGGCATAATTACACAGGGAACAGGATTATAATCATGACGTTGATTTGTGACCAAACAATCAGAACAAGAGGACCTGACTAAGTAGGATGGGGGGTGAGTGTTTGCTGACACCAGGCTTTGATAGAAATGATTTTGCCCATATCCGTCTCCACGGGAAGAGTGCTCTTAACCTTTCACCCATGAGTTCAGAATCCTCAAGTTCCTTTCCCTGACCTCTCTACAAAGTGCTGGAGAAAGTGATCCTTCTATACCTTTTCTTTTTCTTCTTCTATTCTTTCTGGTTCCAGCAGTGCCAGTAGTAATTTATACAAATATAGTGATTTATGCACCTAAGTGGTAGTCCAGTATATCTGGCCTTGGATCTAATTTATGTCATTTTTTGTGGGGGGTACTGGGGATTGAACTCAGGACCTTGTGCTTGTGAGGCAGGTGGTGGCACCACTGAGCTAAATCCCTGGTCCTAACATGTCTCTTTAATATGTCTTTCAGGTGATTTTTCATGTCCATGTCCAGATCCATTGAATGTTCACTTTATAGTTTACCTCTCAGAGATTATTGTGTAGCCCTCATTTCTAAAGTGGGAGAACTCACTTTTCTATTGCACTCATTTCTTATAGTAATCCTTACATTAAATTGGACCTTTAGTGGAATTTGTTCTGTGTACGTTAATTTATATTGTATATGTGTAATTATTGTAAACCATGTGCATGGTTTTAGGTTATATTTTTTCTGTATTTATTTCGGTTTTTATTTTTTATTAGTACCTGTTATATTTGCAGTAAATAATAATTACATTCCTCTTGGGGAGTTACTACATGTACATAACACATCTTAATTCTTTTTTCATCCCCTTGCCTTTCCCTCACTGCCTCCTCCCTCCATTTCTTGATCCCCGTCCCTTTTGCAAAAGATCTATCTCCTTCTTTCTTCGGACCTATGTTTTACTTTGCTCTTTGTATTTTGGGTTTCTCATAGAAGAGAAACCATCTGATAATTAAGCTTGTGTGTTTGATTTATTTCACTTTATGGTCTCAAGGTACATCTATTTGCCTACTAATAACTAAAATTTATCCTCTATGGCAGAGTAGGACTCCATTTCATATAAATACAACATTTTCTTTGTCCACTCATCTGTTGACAGACCTATAGGCTACTTCCAAGATTTAGCCATTAAGAACTGTAATGCCATAAAGGTAGGTATGCCTGTGTACTGTAATACGTTGTCTGGCTCTTTTGGAAGATTCTTAGAAGGGGGAATAGCACGATATTGTTGTTGACTTCATTAATTCCCCCATCTCCACTCCCCACCAAAACAGAGAGCCTGACCTTCCACCCCCTCCCTTCCCTCTCCTCCCCCACTTTCATTCTCTTCCCTTCTCACCTTACTTTCTTTGTTGTGGTTTTAGTGTCTCTGTTCCAGTTGTCCTGGGTTACCCTCAGAAGTACTTCTTCCTGTCTGACCTTCCCCTTTCCCCTGCAGTTAGTTCCACCCATCATTGTTCCATGTTTTAAATTTTTTTTCTTTAAAGTGGGAAACCTTGTCAAGTTTGTCTTTGTATTTTATTTATTTATTTATTTATTTATTTATTTTTATTTTTTTCTTTGGGTTTTTTGAGACAGGGTCTCACTATGTAGTTGAGACTGACCTGGAACTCACTATGTAGCCCAGGCTGGTCTCAAACTCACAGAGATCCTCCTGCCTCGGCCTCCCGAGTGCTGGGATTACAGGAGTGCACCACCACGCCCGGCTTGTCTTTGTATTTTAGAGAACAAGCTGACAAGATTTTCTACACTTTGCTTTCTGATCCATTTTCTTTTAATGTTTAATTTTGATATTGTACTTTTGTTTCTCAACTTACCTTTCTTTTTTTTATTCTGTTATGTCCCCATCTCAGGCAGTTATATGACTTTGTGTAACTGTT